AGATGTTGTTGAGGCCGAAATTATCGATTTTGTATTCTATGTATCCCATCGGGATTATATAATATTATATGTACTCACAAGTTTTTGCACATATCTGTACAACTTGAAGGGGAAAGCGTTCTAACTGCTACAATGCTGGTTAAAACAATGTCAAAGGGAACCGTTCTATTTGCGGAAATGCTGGTAGAACACAATTTCAAGGGGGAAGCATTCCAACTGCTGAAATGCTTGTGTAAAAAAACAACTTGAAGGGGGAAGCATTCAAACTGCTGAAAGGCCGGCAAAAAACAAGTTCAAGGGGGAAGCATTCTAATTGCTGAAATGCTGGTAGAAAAACAATTTCAAGGGAGAAACATTCTAACTGCTGAAAAGCTGGTAAAAAGCAATTTCAAGGGGGAAACATTCTAACTGATGAAATGCTGGTAAAAAAACATTTCAAGGGGGGAAGCATTCTAACTGCTGAAATGCTTGTAAAAAGTAATTTCAACAGGGAAACATTCTAACTGCTGAAATGCTTGTGTAAAAGCAACTTCAAGGGGGAAGCATTCTAACTGATGAAATGCTGGTAAAAAGCCATTTCAAGGGGGAAACATTCTAACTGATGAAATGCTTGTGTAAAAAACAACTTCAAGGGGGAAGCATTCTAACTGCTGAAATGCTGGGAAGCATTCTACCTGCTGAAATGCTGGCAAAAACAATTTCAAGGGGGGAAGCGTTCTAATTGCTGAAATGTTGGTAGAAAGCAATTTCAAGGGGGAAGCATTCTCACTGCTGAAACGCTTGTAAAAACAATTTCAAGGGGAAAGCATTCTAACCGCTGAAAAGCTGGTAAAAAGCCGTCTCAAGGGGGAAGCATTCCAACTGCTGAAATGCTTGTGTAAAAAAACAACTTGAAGGGGGAAGCATTCAAACTGCTGAAAGGCCGGCAAAAAACAAGTTCAAGGGGGAAGCATTCTAATTGCTGAAATGCTGGTAGAAAAACAATTTCAAGGGAGAAACATTCTAACTGCTGAAAAGCTGGTTCTAACTGAAAGCTGGTAATTTCAAGGGGGAAACATTCTAACTGATGAAATGCTTGTTCTAACTGCTGAAAAAAAAGCAACTTCAAGGGGGAAGCATTCTAACTGCTGAAATGCTGGGAAGCATTCTACCTGCTGAAATGCCGGCAAAAGCAATTTTAAGGGGGAAGCGTTCTAATTGCTGAAATGCTGGTACAAAGCAATTTCAAGGGGGAAGCGTTCTAATTGCTGAAATGCTGGTAGAAAGCAATTTCGAATGGGAAACATTCTAACTGCTGAAATGCTTGTGTAAAAGCAATTTCAACGGGGAAGCATTCTAGCTGCTGAAAAGCTGGTTGAAAAAAATTCAAGGGGGAAGAATTCTAACTGATGAAATGCTGGTAAAAAAACATTTCAAGGGGGGAAGCATTCTAACTGCTGAAAGGCTGGTAAAAAGCAATTTCAAGGGGAAAGCATTCTAACTGATGAAATAATGGTAAAAAACAATTTCAAGAAAAGCATTCTAATTGCTGAAATGCTGGTAAAAAAACAATTTCAAGGGGGAAGCATTCTAACGGCTGAAATGCTGGGAAGCATTCTAACTGCTGAAATGCTGGCAAAAGCAACTTCAAGGGGGAAGCATTCTAATTGCAGGAATGCTGGTAGAAAGCAATTTCAAGGGGGAAGCATTCTAACTGCTGAAATGCTTGTGTAAAAAACAATATGAAGGGGAAACATTCTAACTGCTGAAAGGCTGGTAAAAAGCAATTTCAAGGGGAAAGCATTCCAACTGCTGAAATGCTTGTAAAAAACAATTTCAAGGGGAAAGCATTCTAACCGCTGAAAAGCTGGTAAAAAGCCGTTTCAAGGGGGAAGCATTCTAACGTATGAAATGCTGGTAAAAAAACATGTCAAGGGGGGAAGCATTCTAACTGCTGAAATGCTTGTGTAAAAAACAACTTGAAGGGGGAAGCAACTGCTGAAAGGCCGGTAAAAAACAAGTTCAAGGGGGAAGCATTCTAATTGCTGAAATGCTGGTAGAAAAACAATTTCAAGGGAGAAACATTCTAACTGCTGAAAAGCTGGTAAAAAGCAATTTCAAGGGGGAAGCATTCTAACTGCTGAAATGCTGGGAAGCATTCTACCTGCTGAAATGCTGGCAAAAGCAATTTCAAGGGGGAAGCATTCTAATGCTGAAATACTGGTAAAAAACAATTTCAAGAAAAGCATTCTAATTGCTGAAATGCTGGTAAAAAGCCATTTCAAGGGAGAAACATTCTAACTGCTGAAATGCTTGTGTAAAAGCAACTTCAAGGGGGAAGCATTCTAACCGATGAAATGCTGGTAAAAAGCCATTTCAAGGGGGAAACATTCTAACTGCTGAAATGCTGGCAAAGCAATTTCAAGGGGGAAGCGTTCTAATTGCTGAAATGCTGGTAGAAAGCAATTTCAAGGGGGAAGCGTTCTAACTGCATTCTAACATCTGATGATATTCATAGTGCGAAGGCATTCTAAGTGAGTGATTTGTGCAAAGGGTTCTCCAAAAACAAAAAAACTTAAAACCCGGGTGGGGAGGCATTCTAACTGAAGGATTTTTTGCCGTGCGCGGGCCGCATTCTAACTGAGGGGGAGGAATATTTGGAATTCGCGGAGGCATTCTAACTTTCATTTTAACGGTATATATATATATATAGATATGTATATTTATTTTTATATATGTATGTATTATATAACGTAAATTTGTATCAAGGTTGGCAAAATAGCTTCTTTACAGTACCTCCAACTCCTAAGTCATGACCATTACTGCAAACATTCAAGTGACAGAGGAAACATGTGCCACGCTGAGGCTGCGGGTCGTGAGTGTAGCTTGGAGCAGACCGCCGGGAAACTCAAGAATACCACTCAATGCAACATGGAGGTGAAAGAGCTTCAGAACGATAGGTTTTGTCATCCATGGGTTGGCGAAACGATTTGTCTAATCATTTCGTTGGTTTCTCTTTTCAGTTCTTCATATGTACACATACATGTGCAGCATATTGAAACTATATTTATATACATTTATGAATAAACACGTACATGTACTCAGCAACTCCTAAGTCATGCGTCGTTGAGGTGCTAACTTGACTTGGGAACCCGTTGGCTGGCCAAGGCTGCAGATTCTGGAGCAAACTCAGAGCAGAAAGTGGGGAGACCCAAGTCAGATTTAGCTGTTTGAGGTGACTGCGCGATGTTGGAAACTAATATATGTATATATATATAAATATAAGATTTGTCGCTAGTGCTTGCCGGTGTCAGGAGGAAACATAAGTGAACGTAATTCCTATCTCATGTTCAAGGGAAAAGTGCATGAGCTACTGTACTGGCCAGCACGGTTTCTTTTGGGCAGGTAGAGGACAAAGAGACAGAACCTCTACCAGAGGAGCTTTGCATCCACAACTCCTATCTCATAGTTGATGGTGCATGAAGTATGAGTGCAATCAATGAGAGGTGCAGAGGGTAGATAATTCAATGATGTGCAGGAGCCTTCGAAAATTGACAATGTGAATGTCCAGGTTGCTCAGGCTTGACTTTGGATTGCCGCGGTTTTCTACAGAAGCCGTTGTCATTCTTATGCATGTGGTTGCGGCGCCTTGTGCAGGGAGCAGCCGGCGTTGATGATGTGAGTGCGCTGGTGCTGATCTTAGTTCTTGAGCGATCTGTCATGTTGATTTTTCAGACATATATAATAAGCATGGATTCACGATGAAGCTGTTCGTGCAGATAAAATGAGTTGTCAAATATATATATATATTTAAATGTATGTACATATGTATATATATATATACATACATATTTCTATGTATGTATTATATAACGTAAATTTGTATCAAGGTTGGCAAAATAGCTTCTTTACAGTACCTCCAACTCCTAAGTCATGACCATTACTGCAAACATTCAAGTGACAGAGGAAACATGTGCCACGCTGAGGCTGCAGGTCGTGAGGGTAGCTTGGAGCAGACAGCCGGGAAACTCAAGAATACCACTCAATGCAACATGGAGGTGAAAGAGCTTCAGAACGATAGGTTTTGTCATCCATGGGTTGGCGAAACGATTTGTCTAATTATTTCGTTGGTTTCTCTTTTCAGTTATATATATATACATACATGTGCAGCATATTGAAACTATATTTATATACATTTATGAATAAACACGTACATGTACTCAGCAACTCCTAAGTCATGTGTCGTTGAGGTGCTAACTTGACTTGGGAACCCGTTGGCTGGCCGAGGTTGACGATTCTGGAGCAAACTCAGAGCAGAAAGTGGGGAGACCCAAGTCAGATTTAGCTGTTTGAGGTGACTGCGCGATGTTGGAAGCTAATAAGACTTGTGGCTAGTGCTTGCCGGTGTCAGGAGGAAACATATATAAGTGAACGCAATTCCTATCTCATGTGCAAGGGAAATCTGGAATGTCATGTTCATATCTGTGCCTCTGAGGATGAATCTGGCGAGATTGCCGACCAGCTGCGTGCTGTGGAGGAAGATACACATATCACATATTCATATCAGTGCTTCTTTTCGCTGTGGTTGCAAAGTTCCAAAGTTTTTTCTCTGAAAGAATCTCTTCACGAAGGAGCCGCAGGCTGAGACACACACGCATCCACCGCAGAAGGTGCGCGTGTGCATATCTCCTGTCTCATGTTGATTGCCGCTTTTAAGACTCCTGATATGACTCCTAATTGCTAGCAGGATGCAGCTGGTGAGGGAAACCCTTTGCGGGAAGAGACTCGTTTTTGCTGTGACCTTGCAGGCTGATGAACCAGATGATTCGGAAACAGAAAATATGTTTGGCAAGGCAGTGGCTCTCTCGGGCATGGTTCTTGGAATTGTCACAGATGCACATGTAGAAAAACATACACGTGCATTCAGATATATATATATACATGCATATATATATGTATAAAGCATAAGGTGGTTGGAGTTCTTATGAGAGGAAAAAACAAGGCACCGTAGTGCTTGCAACATGTGGCAGGTTGGATTGGATGTGTCGGATGCCATTGGTGCAACACCCAACGGCAATGCTTACGCTGCGAAGTGGCCAAAGAAGTACAAACATGTCACTCCAGATACTGCATATGCTCAATCTGTCCAAGACGCTTATCGGTGGCCAGAGAGGGCCAAACAGAACTTGGAGAGACTAAAGGAAGAACTGAAGGAAGGAGAGGCACCAGCTTTGCTGTCGGGAAAGACCTTTACTGTCACGTCAAGCTTCGCAGGTTTGTGCTCGCAATCACGCGCATCACGGATTCTAGAACATCATGGTTTTGGTTGCAGCTTTCATCACGCGCTGGGCTCAGGGTTTTACAATTGACGCATCTGGAAGTCCTAACTCAAGTGGTTTATAGTACTACATGCAAGTCAAAAAAATGTCAGACTATGCACACGCACACACACACACACGATACACTCACACACTTACATACATACATACATACATACATACATACATACATACATACATATTTGAGTTCTATTGCGCATGTTTGCTTTCTGCATTTACATGTAGACGCTTTGATTTTACACCAAGTAGTTGCCGCGGCCCTGTGCGACTAAGGTTGCTTTCACAGAGAAGCAAAAGGCATGTCAGCAGGTGTTGCTCAGAGATTTTTCGGGATCCTGCATGTTCGGGGATCAGCTGGATTTCCTGAGTCTTGACGACAAAGCAACTATGAACTCTTTAAAGTCTGGCGAGGAAGTTGCCAAGTTCATGAAGACATGTCGCTTGAAGGACAGGGCAGTGTGCATGAGACATGGCTGTCACTGCGCCATCTCCAAAGCTGACATCGCCTTCTTCGGCGCCCCATGCGTTGATGACTCTTCCATGGGGAAGCGCAGCATGGACGATGGACTCAGCAGAAGAGTTTCTTGAGACAAATGTGAATCAAACTTTCTTGCAGACATACGTGTATTGTTTTTGTTCTGTGTGTCGCATGCATTTATCCATGCACATACTGCACATACACGCATATATATATATTTGTATATACAACTATATATATATATGTGAACAAATTTATTGGGCCTTAAGTCCTATGTCATGTGGTGCAGTGTGCGAGCTCGAGGCTACCATGGTGTACCTCAGAAGCCTCAAGGAGCACCTGAAGCCAAAACTGGCTGTATCAGAAAATGTTGCAAATGGAAACATCAACAAACGGATTGCAGAAGCACTGGAAGCTGACATGGATTCCCGGGAATCTTGACTTTGCCTTTAAACGCTGTGCTTGTTTCTCTACTGCTGTGTTTTGAACTATGCTGGCATTTTCATAATTTGGAGGCTCCAATAAGTCCTAACTCATAATCAAACATGCACATACATAGAGCTGATGTTGGGGTACGGGCAGCCATCACAGCAAGCCCAACCTCAGGTAATTTTTGGCGAACCTTCAGACACTGGATTTACATGCATCTCCCGTAGAAGGGCTTTTCAAGTCTTCCTTCGGCGCGATTGCGGCCGATTCATTCGGGAGCCGGCAGAGATTTATCACCAATTGTGTTCAGGATTGGGTGCAAGACATTTGACCTTGCCTGAACTGTGCAAGGTGATGACGGATGATGATTTTCAGCATGAACTTGCCCTGAGTGGAAAGTCAGTTGACTCATACCCTGCAAGTTTTCTTAGCAACTTTGAATCATCCAACAAGGGCAAGTACGAAGCTTTGCTGGGTGATGCGGATTTGAACCTGCAAGCTTATGTCTTGAATCAAAATCCAGATCACATCAAAAAATACACCAAGTGCGGACTCATTCCTACCTTCACGAAGGCTGACAAGATTACGTGGATTCCTGAGAGAAAGCGGCACTTGTTAGCGCTCGAAAAATATGTGGCCCATGGCTGGCCAGTCAATTCAGAACTTGCTGAAATACTGAAAGTGCCCGCTCCTCGGCTTCCATATTCATAAATGAGATGTTTGCTTACAGACATAGAGATTTTCTCGTGGACCCAGAACTCCCAAGTCTTATGTATCGGTGATGCATATGTTGAAACATTTTTTTTTGCTTAGTATTGTTTCACACACATATATATATACACGAATATATGTGAATAAACATCGACTTTACTTTTTTTATATATATAAATGTTAGGGTTCTGCTTGCAGATCCCGCTGTTTCTTTAACCCTGGTGAAGCTGGCGTAACGCACGCGTGTGTTTCTTGGTAGGCCGCGGTGACTCTCTACGTGTGCGTGATTTGTGCACGGTGACCTGTCCTCCTCTCTTTGGACGCGTGTGCGGCCCCTGATGAAACAAAGCGCAATTGTAGCGACCCTCTCCTTCCTCTGGTTATCTCGCGGTGTAAGCGGGCGTCTCTAGATTTTATAACTGGTTTGTTATTACATTATGCTCACCAACCATGAAGACGATAGGTCCCCAAAAAGAGTGGTTGGGGACCTATCGTTTTAAGTGATTTGAACAAGAAATCTGTGCTGTGGTTTTTGCGTGCAACACTGTATGCTGACAAACAGGTGAGGCTTGACACTTTTACCAACTGAACATTCCAAAACACACCTTTTTCGTTTTAAGCGTTTGAACTTCTGGTGAATTGCCAGACGCTGTTGCGGTGTGATTTCAACTGTCTAAATTTTTAACAGTTTGGGATGCTCATGTTGGTCTCTTTGAGTCGATCATCATTCGATTTCATGTCTGGTATTTTTGACTCAAGTTCCCAGATTTTTAACATGCCGATGTTTTTGATTTTTCTGTTTCGACGATTGGGTGTTGATGGTTGCGCGAGTCAACCTCCTTCACGCCTGCTTTTATGTTTGGGGTTTGCGGTTTGTTATGCCACTTTTTGTTTAGTTCTCTTTAGTGCACTTGCATGCACTTGAATGTAACTAAACGCGCAGGGTTGTGAAACGTGCATGTCCTTGCTCATGGGACTTGTGACTTCTCAATGCTTTCCTTAGCTTGCCGTCTCAGGTATTCAACATGCGTGCGCTTTCAAATCCACATCCATTGTTGGGGAACGGTCAGCACATTCCTGTTGCCGGCCTGGTTCTTGCAGCAGCTTTGTTTTCGGTGCAGTTCTTTGAACCGCCCGCGCCGACCAAGTCGTTAGCCGATGCCAGCTCCAACGATCGTGCTCAGGTGCTAGTAGCCAAGGAACAGTTTTGTGAATTTTCTGGCATGTTATATATATATACTTCTTTTTTGAAACTTCATGTTTGTTGCAATTTGCCTGTCAACATAAGTCCCATCTCATGTTTGTGTGCAGGTCCAAAAGGATTTTCCCGAGATGGAGGTTCAAGATGAACACGTCGTTTTCCGAACTGGAGAACATGTTCGCAAAGTGAAGGTTACGGGGGACCGCACTTTGCGTCAAGCTGCCGAATCCTTGTGTGTCTATTCTGAAGCCATTCAAGATCTTACTTTGTCCTTCGTGGCCAAGAACAGGTGTGTCTCTCAGAAACTTGCTGCGTTCCATTTATATATATATATATGTACATGCAGTGTATATGCACGTACATATTTGCACACATACAGTGCTAAGACAGGAAATTCACGATTTGCTGGGCCGAGGTCGGCGTTGAAAGACATGTGCAAGGACGCAAATCTGAAGGTGTCAGGTTCGATGCCAGAGATAAAAAGCCGACTTATTGAGCACCGCATAGTGCAAATTGACGAGGACGGGCTCTTCTGCAACTCCTAACTCATGTGGTGCTGCTGGCAAGAAGACTTGCTCAACTATATGTGTAATTATATTGACAATGTTGGCAATGTTTCGAATCTTGGTGAAGGAGCGCGTCAAGAACAATTTTTTCACTCCAAAGGACTGCATTTCTGTGACGCATGTCATCATGACGGCATCTGCCTGCGTGCAGGTGCCTATTCAAACCACTTGATTTGCTACATATCGTTCACACAAGTCCCAACTCATGATGGCAGGAGAACAACAAGAAGCAAGAAGAGAAGAAAGATGAAGCTGAGGACATGCGGCAGGCAAATCAGTTTGCTTCAATTCTTCCGCCAGGTGTTGTGGGTTTTTGTGGTTTATAAAATTCATATATATATATTTCTCGTTTTATCTGTGCATACATGCGTGTATGCAGAGATTTGCTTGTGTGTTTTTGGGTTTGCATGCTGTGATTTGATGTGCTGTGCATGTTCTGCGGCATCAATGTGAATATCTGCACATATCGTTCACACAAGTCCCAACTCATGATGGCAGGAGAACACCAAGAAGCAAGAAGAGAAGAAAGATGAAGCTGAGGACATGCGGCAGGCAAATCAGTTTGCTTCAATTCTTCCGCCAGGTGTTGTGGGTTTTTGTGGTTTATAAAATTCATATATATATATATTTCTCGTTTTATCTGTGCATACATGCGTGTATGCAGAGATTTGCTTGTGCGTTTTTGGGTTTGCATGCTGTGATGTGCTGTGCATGTTCTGCGGCATCAATGTGAATATCTGCACATATCGTTCACACAAGTCCCAACTCATGATGGCAGGAGAACACCAAGAAGCAAGAAGAGAAGAAAGATGAAGCTGAGGACATGCGGCAGGCAAATCAGTTTGCTTCAATTCTTCCGCCAGGTGTTGTGGGTTTTTGTGGTTTATAAAACTCATATATATATATATTTCTCGTTTTATCTGTGCATACATGCGTGTATGCAGAGATTTGCTTGTGTGTTTTTGGGTTTGCATGCTGTGATGTGCTGTGCATGTTCTGCGGCATCAATGTGAATATCTGCACATATCGTTCACACAAGTCCCAACTCATGATGGCAGGAGAACAACAAGAAGCAAGAAGAGAAGAAAGATGAAGCTGAGGACATGCGGCAGGCAAATCAGTTTGCTTCAATTCTTCCGCCAGGTGTTGTGGGTTTTTGTGGTTTATAAAATTCATATATATATATATTTCTCGTTTTATCTGTGCATACATGCGTGTATGCAGAGATTTGCTTGTGTTTTTTGGGTTTGCATGCTGTGATTTGATGTGCTGTGCATGTTCTGCGCGGCATCAATGTGAATATCTGCGCATATCGTTCACACAAGTCCCAACTCATGATGGCAGGAGAACACCAAGAAGCAAGAAGAGAAGAAAGATGAAGCTGAGGACATGCGGCAGGCAAATCAGTTTGCTTCAATTCTTCCGCCAGGTGTTGTGGGTTTTTGTGGTTTATAAAACTCATATATATATATATTTCTCGTTTTATCTGTGCATACATGCGTGTATGCAGAGATTTGCTTGTGCGTTTTTGGGTTTGCATGCTGTGATTTGATGTGCTGTGCATGTTCTGCGGCATCAATGTGAATATCTGCACATATCGTTCACACAAGTCCCAACTCATGATGGCAGGAGAACAACAAGAAGCAAGAAGAGAAGAAAGATGAAGCTGAGGACATGCGGCAGGCAAATCAGTTTGCTTCAATTCTTCCGCCAGGTGTTGTGGGTTTTTGTGGTTTATAAAATTCATATATATATATATATATTGTTTTATCTGTGCATACATGCATGTATGCAGAGATTTGCTTGTGCGTTTTTGGGTTTGCATGCTGTGATGTGCTGTGCATTTTCTGCAGCATCAATGTGAATATCTGCACATATCGTTCACACAAGTCCCAACTCATGATGGCAGGAGAACAACAAGCAACAAGAAAAGCAGAAAGATGAAGATGAGGACATGCGGCAGACATGCTTCACAGTGATTCGTTTGCTTCATAGAGGTGTGATTTGCTTCAGCAATCATTTTCCTACACACCGCTTGTCCGTTGCCATTACATTCTGTAGGTTTTTTTTCCTGATATCCACATCACGTGCAGTGACTTTTGCCATGCTAGCGGTCTCCCGGGCTATCATTGCGGAGGTCAAGAGCGCTGTGCGAACTCAACATGGGGTGCCTGGCTGTGTGCCGCAGGTGCTGTGTTTGCTG